TCCCCTGTAAAGCTATTTTTTTATGTACCACTGTTATTTCATGTGCCACTAAGAAAAAAATTGGCAAACTATGTTTTTCTTCATTTAGAATTTTTACTGGACTCCTACTGAAGAAGTCTTTGACTTAATTAGATGGTTATTTTTATTTTGCATCACTCTCATGCCTAATGAAAAGGAAAGTATAAATAAGATAAACTGGTTAAGGTAGTCCTAAAACTAGCGTAACATTCCTACTTTATCTGAATCACTTTTTGCCTGGGAATCATCAATGTCCGTTTATTCCCACAATATCTTCCTCTGTGCCACCAAGACTGTGATGTAGGATTTCTTAAAAGAATCAATTAAAAACAAAAACCCCTACAAGCTGTAAGTATTGGACTCTTAAGTTGACTTGGCAATTATGTAGAGCTGATCTGTTTCTGTTTCCAGCTTTGGAAAGGCTCCTAGCACACTTGAGTCACCACCTTTTCCACTCTGTCTCCTTAACCATTTGGTTCCTAGGAGATTAAAAAAAAGGGTTCCACTATTGTGCACCAGGTTTTCTTTCAACTACTACTGTCCATTCTACAAATTTTGATGCTGGCCCTTGTAATGTTCTCCAACTGTTATGATTATTGCCTGGCTGATAGCAGTTATAAGATGTCATCAGTTATAAAATCCCAATTTCAGAGATGGTAAAATGTCAAAAAATGGGTGTCTCAGAATCAATGAAATATGGTGTGAGCCTCTCAGACATGAGAGTCTTTGAGGACCATGTCATGTAGGCAGCGACAATGGATAGAGAAGGATACGAAGGCCAGAAAAGAAGTCCCATGTGCTATTTTCTCTCCCTCTCTCTCTCTCTCTCTCTCTCTCTCTCTCTCTCTCTCTCTCTCTCTCTCTCGGAAGGGGAACAGCCAAGTTGTTGTCCTTCAGTCTTAGTTGTGGAAGGCACAGCTAGCTCAGCTTCAAGTCCAGTCACCATCCAGTCACCAGCCCATTGTCAGCTCGTGGCCACTCAGCTCAAGGTACCGTGCTCCATCTTAGTTGTGGGTGGGCATAGCCCACCATCCCGTGCGGGAATCCAGCTGGCAACCTTGTTGTTAGGAGCATGTGCTCTCACCAGCTGAGCCCTCCTGCCACCTGTTGGCAGCTCAGCGGCAGCTCAGCTCGGACGCAGCTCACTGGCCCATGTGGGAATCAAACCGGTGACCCTGTTGCTCAGAGCTTGTGCTCCTAACCAACTGAGCCACTGGGCCGGCCCCCCATGTGCTATTTTCAATGTAATTACTCTTAGGTACATGAATTCATTCTGATAGCAAAAGATTCATTCACACAATTGCTAGGAAAAAATGTCAAATTGTGCTGTCAGCCTGATTTCATCTGATTTGTAAATATTCCAAAGTTAACTATGTTTTAAATCAACGTTCCCAGTTTTGCTGTTAATACAATTGTGTACATAGATGATGGAAACTCCCAGTGGTCAGTGCCAGTCTTGGTGTCCTACTAGGTGCATTTTCACCTGATTGGGAACAGGTACTCTGACATGGGAGTGGGGTGGGGCAGAGAGGGAGGGGACAGTTTGAAAGGGAAGTGCCTACCTGAGAGAAATTGTCCATTCATCTGACAAATATTTATTAAATTGCCTAGTAATTATAGGGTACGTGTAAAGGTAAAAATGTTGACGCACCCCATTGGTACTTAGGTGCTTAGAATTTTGTTTGTTTGCGGTGATAGTGTAGTAAAGAAAATTAGTGGCTGTGACAGAGATGATAGCTAGAGGTGAGAGACTTGAGGTGGGTGTACTCTAGTTGGTAAGAGCGCTGGGTTTCTTTGAATTTGTTTTGTTTTGACTAGGCGTGACCTGCATTTGGTAAAACCTGCAAATAATATAGAAGCTTATAGAGTGAAAAGTAAATCTTTCTGTACTTTCATTTCTAAGAGGCAACCGTTTCTCTGTATCCTTCCAGAGGTAGTCTATGAATATCTGAATATGCCTTTTTGCAGTGAGAAATCTAGACTTTCAACCTTAGGTACAGGACAGTAGGGGAATATTGGAGATAATTTTAGGTGGAAAAGCTCACATCGAGGATGAAGAATGGGTTTGGACAATTGGATGATTCTGTTGGAGAGAGTGAAAGGGGGTGATCAGTACTTTATGCACTGTGCTCAGCATGTGGTTGTTTAATAAATACTTACTGATTGATTAGTTGCTGCAGTGGATTATAATTGTATTCTCAAGAGGAGCTGATTTGGGAACTCGGATAAATATGAGAATCAGGGCCGCAGGAAACATTTGTCCTTTCTGCTCCCTCTGTTTTGTGGTTTCTGGCTCTGCATTCATTTGGTTCTTTCAATCCCAGCTTCTTTCTCTTACTTTTTTTCTCCTTCTTTAGTCACCTCCCTCGGATCAACTCTCCTCCTCTCTATTTTCTTTATTACCTCACTTCTGTATGAACCGGAAGTATACTGAAGTAATACAGACAGATGCATAAGAATATTTATTATATTATATTAATACATTAATTTATATTAACTTATCAGTAATAATAATTTGTATTAATTTATTAATATCTATTAATAAAGTTATTTATTTCTTTAAAAGCATGTAAGTAAAAAAACCAACAAAACAGGTAAGTCAAGTGTTTGGTAATTTCTCCTAAATCACTCTCAATTTACTTATAAATCAGCCAGGTAAATTTTTTTTCTTTGTGGTCAGTGACCCTGTATTGAAACGCTTTCTGCTATTGAAGTAGTCAGGTGGGTAGGCTCTTACATGGTTTACGTAAGGTCAAGTGACTTCAGGATAATTGATTGAAGTACAGCTTTTACTGCAGTAGCATATTTTGACACTCCTTAGCCTTTTTTGAGGGGCATTTACCTTCATTATCTGATAAACATTCTCCTTTGATTTAAAAATTCCATAAACACAGATGCACAGCTAAGGACAGAGTTTACCCTGATGTCTCCATTAGTAATTTTGGGTATTGTGGTAGTTAATTTGCTTTTTGTTTCTTGAAGATGAAGCTAAAACTAAAAATGTATAGTTACAACAGCAGACTGGGGTGGCCATGTAGACAGTTCTCTAGCACATGGTAAATGTGAGAGGAGGGAGTATTGTTAAAAGAGAGTACAAAACAACTTTTATTTCATCCTCATTTCATTCTGTACCATTTCAGTTTGTATTTATGAATTTTATTATGGCTACATTGACTGGAACTCTGGTTGGGTCTAATACATGGGTCCCAGGCTTTTAAATCTCATGGTCCAGAGTGGGGAAAAAAATTGAAAAAACAGGCCGGCCGAGTGGCTCAGTTGGGTAAGAGCTCGCTCAAGAGTTTGAGCTCTGAGCAACAGCGGTTCGAGTCCAGCCCGAGCTGAGCAGCCGCTG